CCGGGCTGAGGTCTCGGCGCCGGCCCGGAGCCTGGCTCCCGGTGGGAGGAGGAGGAGGACCGGGAGGCGGCGGCGAGGAAGGCGCGCGTGCGCAGGTCCGCGGCGCCTCCCAAGTTGGGAATCCGACTGGGGCGTAATGGAGGCGCGGGGGCCGGCCGGGGAGAGGGCCCGCTGCCCTCGGAAACAGTCCCCGCCCGATGGTCGCCCCACGCCCGCAGCCTGGGAGGGAGGGCGGCCGTGGCGGCTCCGGGAAACTTTGGCGGCGGCGAGGCCCGGTGGCCGGCTCCGCCCGCGGAGATGCCTTGCGCCCCGCCCCGACTCCAGCCTGGAGAGGGGCGCGCCCGGCTTCCGCCGCCCGGGGGCGCTCTGGGGCGCGGCCGCGGCCCCCAAAATGCTTCCCCGCCCCCAGTCAGAGCTTCCAGTCAGAGCTTCCCGCCCGCGCCCCCCGCGCGTTCCTCCGGCTCCGGCCACTCCTTCCCCGCCGCCCGGGAGGGGTCGGTGCTCCTCCGGGGAGAGGGCCCGGCTGGGGCAGTTGTCCCTCGAATCGCCCCCTGGACCGATGCCCAGCGTTGGGGGCGGCCCCTGCGTTGGAGAGGAAAGCAGGGGGGTGGGCAGGCTCTGGGATGGTGCTCATCCTGAGGGGAAAGTGAAGTCCCCAGGCCGCCAGATCCCCCCTCGACCTGGTCACCAGACTGACTTGGCGGCCTCCCGCTCTACGCTCCAGCAGAGGCGCCCCGGAGAGGGGCTTTTAGAAGGTGTCCGGGGTCCTGTGTGTCCAGAGGCCGCCGGGTTGCCCTGCCCGCCGAGCGACGTCCAGTAACAGCTCCTTGTGACATAACCACCACTTCACAGTGGAGGCGAAGCGGGTTTGGATCTCGGCAGCACCCCGAGTTTTCTCACCCCTCCCTCCGCTGTCCTTTTGACCTAGTTCACTCGGCCATCAGAGCCCACCCACCCCAGGAGAACCTGTCCTGAACACATTCTCCCCGCACTGGGTGTGGGTGAGGGATCCTCCTCCGTGCCACCACAGCCCCCTGCCTTCTCCCATCAAATTGCTCTCGGCATCCTGAGTTTGACTGGTATGGTTTCAGACACGCCTCACCCATCAGACTGTGAGCTCCCTGAGGGCAGCAACCTTGAGGCGCCTGTAGCCACAAAGCCCACCCCAACCTGGCACAAACTGGTCAAAATAAAGGGCAAAGATGTACTGAGCGTTTGATCTTTGTTTAGTTAAAAAGACATATAGTGCTTAACATTACTGGGTATTATTCTAGGGGGCCCTGGTGGCACAGTGGTTAGGCGTTTGGCTGCTAACCAAAAGGTTGGCAGTTCGAATCCACCAAGCCCTCCCTGGAAATCCTATGGGGCAGTTCTAGTGTGTCCTATAGGGTCGCTATGAATGGAAACGACTGCAATGGGTTTGCTTTGGTTTATTCCAAGTGCTTTGCAAATACTACCGCATTTAATCCTTACAACAGCTGAGCTCTGGGTGTGGTAAATGCAGAAATGAATAGTGCAATTGAGGGGCTTTGCTCTCAAGTCAGCAAAGGTTTACTGAGAGTCTGCTGAGAGTGGGCAAGGATCATGGAGCCACAGCTCCAGCCTGCAGCCTGAGCCTCAGGACAGGGGTGTGAGAGAAATGGGAGAGTGGAAGCGGATGGACCCCACATGGTAATCCTGAGAGTTCTAGGAGAATGGTGACAACCTTGTTAAAGTAGGGAGCAGCAGTTGAGCCCAGTGGTTCAGCTTCCAGAGCATCTCTGGGTGGACCAGGTATGTGACTTTGGCCAAGTCACATGACCGGAGTCTCAGCTTCCCCTTCTGTAAAATGGGATGAGAATAGTACCTACCTCAGAGGGTCACTGTGATTATTAAATAAATCAACATACGTGCCAGACCCACAAAGTACTACAGAAGAGTTAGCTATTAATATTAAAGAAGCCTGGAAATTTCCTGTGTAGGTGGAGATGTAGATGTCTAGTTGACAGCCAGACATGTGGGACTGGAGTTCAGAACTAGATAAGTAAATATGATAAGGCTCATACTGACGGTGATTCATTCAATAAATATTTAGCTCTTAATATATGCCAGGTACTGTGGTGAACTTGTGGGAAATGGCAGTACACAAGGCAGGAGGACTACTACCCTGAGAAACAAACACTAAACTAGTAAAGCCAAAAAAAAAAAAGAAAAGAAACTAATTTCAGATAGCAGTCCCTGGGTGGTGTAAAGGGTTAATGCGCTCGGCTGCTAACTTGAAGGTTGGAGGTTGAAGTTCACCCAGAGGCACCTGGGAAGAAAAGCCTGGTGATCTACTTCCAAAAAAGCAGCCATTGAAAACCCTATGGAGCACAGTTCTACTCTGAAACACATAGGGTTGCCATGAGTCACAATCAACTTGAAGGCAACTGGTTTTCACCAAGACTCACACAGTAGTGGGTTGTCCAAACTTAGGAAGGGAGTTCAGATGCTGAATAGGCAACAACATATCTTGTTGAGGAGTACATGCAAGTTTGAACCAGAGCTGAATTGCTGAGGACAGTAGAAAGGGGATTAGAGGCCGCTCTACTGGAGGGCCTCTTTCTCCATTCCATATATAGCACTCAACTTCCCCTCTAAACAAACACAGAACAAGTACTTGAAGACTACAGATTTCTGGAATATTATGAACAAAATGATAGATTGTCTTGGAATTGCTTTAAAATAATCCGCTGGGAGGGCAGGATGGTTGGGATTATAGATGAAACAAAGACAGGTCATTCTGTTGATAATTGTTGAAACTGGGCGATGGGTACGTGGAAGCTCATTCTATGTAGTGAGTTCAAGGGTGTTTGGGGCTGATTAAGGAAAAACATACGACCACGAGTCAGCAGTGTTGACAACAAGCTATGTATTGGGGCCTACACATTGACAACCACACAGAGTGGTCCCCCACAGCAGGAGGTCTTCAAGAGGCAAGCGGCACAAGAAGTCACCAGACGGGAAGGAGGGCAAGGAAACTGCTGGAGAAGAGGAGAAAGGAGGTGGCTTATATGTGTCCTTCCACAGCAAGGTGGGGGCCTCTGGGTCAGAAAGCTCCGAAGGACAGCAGCAATTTGGGTCCTTTTAAGTACAGGGTTTTATCTCCGCCGTGGCTAGCAGATGTTGCGCACAGTTTTATGGGGTACGTAACTGTTCCATAGGGTTTTCGAGGCTGTGACCTTGAAAACAGGCAGATTGCCAGGTCTGTCTTCCAAAGTGCCTCTGGGTGAGTTTGAACTATCAACCTTTTGGCTAGTATTCAAATGCTAAACCGTTTGTGCTACCTTGGGACTCATCTAAGTGGCTCAAAATCTGCTTGTTTGGGCTATTAAAAAAAACTGGGTGTGTACAAATTTGAGTTTGGCGCCAGTGGGACTTTTGGGCTAATGGACCTAGCACGCTATGAAGAAATAAACAACCTGGGGCCAGTAAAAGAGACCATCTTTGATTCATGTACATAACATTAGACTATTCTCCTTCCTATGTTAATGACTGAAACTTTTTTCAAAATAAAAATTTATTTTTTAAAAATAAAGACTATAGGCTTGAAGGAGGCAAAGTATTAGCTTGCCTGGGATGAAGACAAGTCTTGGTTCAGCCACGGGTGAAAGAAGAGAGATCGGCATGTGGCCAACAGGAATAGAGGGTTTGGAGTGGGAAGGAAGGATGAGCTCTCGGGGGGAGTGTCTGGAGACGGAAGCAGGGCTCTTGGAACTGGGTGCTGGGAACCCTGTAGTCAGGGGCTAGAGGAAGAGTGGGTGCTGGGGACCCCCCAACTGCAGTCAGGGGCAGGAGGAAGAGCTACCAGATGACAGTTGCTTCATCACCCCGCGAGCCTATTGGTCTGGGCACATGGCAGAGTGAAGCAGTGATTGTGTAGAAGGAGAAGTCACTGCTTCCTGGAAAATCAGGCCACAGGGGCCTGAGAAACCACACTGAGGCTTGACAGGCAGCCTCAGGGCACGTGAGTGTAGCTCCCCAGGCTGGTGCCATGGACTGTGTCAGGAGCATCAGCTAATTTCCAGAGTCAGAGCAGTCCCCAGCCCACTCTGCTTTACCTGCCTTGTGAGGGCTGACCACCTGAAACAGCCTCACACCCACTCTTCTACCCAGGAACTCCTCCTCTAAGTGGCTAAAAATGTGCTTGTTTGGGCTATTTTTTAAACAATTGGATGTGTACAAATTTGAGCTCGGTGCTGGTGGGATTTTTGGGCTAATGAGCCCAGACTACTATGAAAAAATAAACAAGGGGCCAATACGCACAGACGTAGGAAAGGAGTTCAGATGCTGAACAGGCAACAACAACATATGTCTTGCTGAGGAGGACATGCAAGTTTGGGTCAGTGCTGAATTGCTGGGGACAACAGAAAGGGGATTAAAGGTTGCTCCACTAGAGGGCCTCTTTCTCCATTCAGCACTCAACCTTCCCTCTAAATGAACACAAAACAAAATGGCCCTCCTGACTTTCCATAATTGGTGTTCTGGCTTCTCTTTGCTGTTTCTTCTCTAATTTGACAGACTTGAGGTGGTCATGGATGATTTTGATGTCATCATGGTATCTTTGAACACCAGAAATGCCACACAAGACTCACATCCTGGTCGGTACTGAATTCTGCTTGACAGTCACCCCCCCACCCCGTCCCAAGTCCCCAAGGGCATTATGCAAGGGTTATGATTAAACTCCCAAAATCCACCTGGAGAACAGGAAGCACAAACCTTAGCAACAAGATTCTTTAAACTGCACTGGGCACACTCT